CTGTCTTTTAATGTCTCTGTCATCACGCCAGTCATCTGTGAGAAAGTGTCCCAGATACTTTGTCTCTTTGGAGACGGAAAGAGGCTGACCACAGAGCTGAAAGTCAGGGAAGGTCAAATGTTTATCCTCTCTGCTTCTCACAATCATCATGTTGCTCTTTGTTGGATTGTATTTTATGTCAAACGTCACACCATACGCTGAGCACACTTGTAGCAGTCCCTGCATGCCTGCACTGTAAGGGCTTATGATAACAAGATCGTCTGCATACATGAGATGGTTGATTACAGTGGTTCCCATGACACACCCTGTTTTACACATGTTCAATTCAGTGGACAAATCATCAACATATATATTAAATAAAAAAGGAGAAAGGAGGCCTCCTTGTCTAACACCATTACACACATAAAAACTTTTTGAAAGAGCATTGTCCCATTTCACACTCATGAGTTGATTAGCATACCAGAAAGCTAGAATCCTAATCAAGTAATTCGGCACTCCTCTATGTGCAAGTTTTAGGAACAGTTTGCAGTGGTTCACTCTATCAAAAGCCTTACTAGCATCAATAAAACATAGAAGTACAGATGAATTCAACTCCAGGTATTTACTGACAGTTTCTTTCAGTGCATAGATACAGTTATCAGTGCTGTGCCCTTTTTTAAATCCAAATTGATTGTCATTTGTTGTCAGGTAAATTTCAAGCCTAGCAATCAGGATGCGTTCTAGGATTTTAGACAGAACACTCGCAAGGGCAATAGGCCTGTAATTGTCCATACTAGTTAGCTTAGCAGCCTTATCTTTAATTACAGGTACCAGAACAACAGAGATCATGGACTCTGGTAAAACTCCATGTATTAAGAGTCCACTAAAACACATAGACAGCAGAGGGCATATCTGCTTAGAGGAGTTCTTCAGGTGCTCAGCTGTGATTGTATCCAGACCGCAGGCTTTGTTTTCACTTAGCTTTAATATAGCATCCTGGATTTCAGTTGACCGTATCAGCATGCCAGCCTCCATATCCACATGGCCAACAGGACAAATGTCACTTTTCACTGAATTAAATAAGTCAAAATAATGCTTCCTCCATAGCTCAGTAATATTTTGAGAACCACATATACCTTCAATGTTAGATGGCAATGGTGTTCTAGAGTTGTTCATTGATTTCACCTCCTTCCAGAATTTATAAAAATCCTTACATTGAAGTCCTCTGGCAAACGAGTCAGCTCTTAACATATTTGCATTTCTTTTAATAAACCGTAGAGCATATTTAAATCTAGCTGTAGTTGCCTTTTTCGACTCAAACAGTGGTCCTTGTCTGGGCTTTCCTGCTGCATGCCAGAGTCCAAAAGCTTCTCTAGCAGCAGCATGATGATCAGCCACAATGTCATTCCACCCAGGTTTTACATGGGGGGGTTTATGATTTTTCTGTTGCAGGCATTCACTACTGTCTTTCAATACTTGGATTATGTTTTCATAGAATATACAAAGCTCATGGCAGTGACTAGAATTATTACAGTTTGGATCAAGGCAAGTCAGTGCATCTATAGGCAGTGTCATGTTCTGCAACAGAACATCTGTCCTAGTTGTGTATTTTTCAATATTCTTTATACTTATTTTTGACCAGTCAATTCTGGCTGTGTGTTCAGCATTCGCATTTTCCAGTAGTTCTGGTACACTGTCCGTATCTAGGGATATAACTATAGGTATGTGACCAGAGGTGGCAAGTCCGTACATAATGTCCATGTTGCTCAGAGAAGCATGTGCATCTGCTGTGCAGACACAGTGATCCAGCCATGACGTAGAGTGCCAGGCATCACTGATATAAGTATAGCTGTTATCTGGTAAAAGCAGTTCACTTGATAAGATAAGATTATTGTCTTTACAAAACTGGACTAAAAGTTTTCCGAAAATAGATGATTTATCCGACAGGTCAGCATTAAAATCTCCAATAACAAACACACACGTTGTGCAGTTATCTTCAATAAAGGACTCTATGAATTCCAGTTTGTTTACAAACTCATCTTCCATTTGGTGTGACTCATATGGCATATATACATTTAGCACAGTGAATTTTTTATCATTGAGGCTTATTTCAATGCTAATAGCCCAATCAACATTGAGCCTTAAAACCTTGACAGCAGAGTCATATTTAGCATTCCACAGAATGGCAACACCTCCAGGTATTCTACCCCGAACTATTCTAGTGCTGAGGTCTGTTGTAGATTCCCCTACTCCATGGAAATCCTCATGCAAGGAGTTCAATTTATCCAAATCCTGTTTGGAAGCCCAGATTTCTTGAATGCAAATAATATCACTGTCTTTTAAAAGAGTGTCCAATACAAGCCGGCTTGCCTTGTCAGCGCCACTGTTGCCGAGGCGCAGGCCACGCGCATTGTATGACGTAATCCGAATGTTTGCCATATTAAATAGTAGGGGTGCAACGGTTTGAAAAAATCACGGTTCGGTTCGTACCTCTGTTCAGAGGCCACGGTTCGGTTCATTTTTCGGTTCATTTTTCAAAAAAAAAGTGTTGTCTTTTTAATAAACACAGCTCATGTGGACTCGGCACCTGCTCTGACTGCCCCCCCTGACCTAGAAATGAATTAAGGGGAAGGAAATGGATGGATGGATGGATGGAATATTCCATCCATCCAATTATGTCTATTTAACATAATTAATGAAAAACAACACAAAGTGCAACATAAGAAGGCACTTTATGAGGATATTTACCCTCATATATTACACCACCTTCCTGATTCGAGGAGGCGCTCCATTCTGGGCCCAGCCTCATTCACTGCATTTATTTAATTTTTGGCATTATCAGTTTTTTACTGGGATATTAGTACTGGGCCTTTGTCTTCCATTCCTCCGCTGCTTGTGTCAGTACCTGCGCTGTGTGACAGTGTGACTGTCGTAGAGGGGGCGTGTCTTCAGCCCCAGACTTTTCATCTCCCAGTCTGCGGTGATGAAGTGAGCGGTTCTGCTCATGGATCTATTATAGGTTCCGCGGGACGTCCAAGCGTCAGTCGTGAGCTGAGCTGAGGATGCGCGGGAGAGTTGACTTTAGCCCGGTCTGACTGTGCGTAAAGGAGCTGCTTAAATGCCGCGACAATAAGCGGTCGTTGAGACGCTTTTTTCACTCATGTCTTTCTTGTGCCACAGTGCTTACACATCGTGACAGTTTTGTCGAATATTAATTATCAGTGTAGTTACAGTGAAGCCAAAATGCTCTCATACTGGGGATTTAAATGACGCGGGGCTTTCAAGCATCTCCGTTCCTCCGCTCGCAATGACCGCGCTGTGTGTGGACTGAACAACGTGCGCACAACTTTTTTTTCATAAATCAAACCGCGGATAACGTCTGTACCGAACCGAAGACGTTGAACCGAACGGATCACGGATCAGTGATGAACCGTTGCACCTCTATTAAATAGTATTGTCTATTCCTTGCTGTCTTCATTGCCAGTCCCAACTTGGGCAACAGATGCGCTAGCGCGGCTAGGATCAGAGCTAACTGTAGCTGTAGCATGTTTCCTCCGTGGTTCATAGTATCTCCTTACGAAGACACCTGCTGGCCAGAGTTCGGGCACATACATCTCTGCTACTTCATTACATTCAGCCGTTATATGGAAAGAGCTGAATCTTCCGTACGCAGACTCAATTTTGCGGCATTTAACCTCCCGACCCAATTTGTCACTCAGATATCCCTTTAGCGTATCAGCCTCCAAACTTGGATCAAACTTTGTTGCAAAAACACTCACCAGTTTCGTCCTGATGGCGTGTATGTTTGATCCGGCGCCAGTTCCAACTATGCCAGGGGTTTTACGTTCGCGTCTAGAAGAAGGCATACGTGGCTTTGGACCACTATGCCTAGGGTCAGATGCTATCTGTCGGCGTCCTTCCCGCACGACAAGGCTCCAAGCTGGGGAAGACGCCAGCCCAGCAGCTGGTGGCTCAGAGCGCGCCAGGCGCGCAGGAGGCACAGGGCGTGCAGGACTCCCCTGCTGTGCTCCACCGCTGATGATGGGTTCAGGGACACCACTGTGATTCTCCATTACAGAGATGCGGCTGTCCAAGCAGGCAGTAACCGCGCGTATGCTTTCAAAAGCGCTGGATTGCTCCTCCATGGACCTTTTCATGCACCCGAAGTCGGCTTTTAGTTGCTCCATTCGGGCCAGCAGTGCAGACGCATCAATGTGGTTAAATGAAACGGGGGGCAAGTCGTCCAGATAATGTGACACAAATCGTGGTATGTTGTCCCCACACTCGTTAAGCACTTTCATGCACAGTTTCACATTATTAATGTCCTTAAGAGCTCCTTTATGCATAACGCAGCGTTGCGAGGAGTTTGGGCAGACCTCGAACAAAACTTTCTTAGAAGATTCAATGCGCTCAGAGCTGAAATTGTTTGTAACCAGCATTACAATTTCATCATGACACATTGTCCTCATTTTCACCACTATAAAGTTCAAAAGTTCATCTTCAACGATGATTTTACCATCGTTGGTTTTGAATATCTCAGGTTTTAATCTTGAGAAGGCACCAGCCAAACGACGCGTCTCCTCCGCCGCCATTTTCGCGGGTAGCCTGTTTACCTCAGGCTACCCGCGTTCTCACGGATTCCAATAAATGTGTTACTGAATGAACCGACACTTAATTCTGTGTGTCTTCTGAAAACATTAGCTCTCTAAATCTGGTGTATAATCATTAGTACTTATTTGGCCTAAAAATATAGTTTTTGCAGCTATGCTACTTGACAGGCTCCTCATGCTGGGGAGTACTATTCAGGAGCTTTTTAATTGATTGTTATTGTAATGTTTAATATTTATACTGCAATATTCCAAACTACACAATCTATTATCATAAGTAAAAGAGTTATACACACGTAGCATTTGGTTGAGCAGGTTCATATCCAGGGCCAAACCAAGGAGGGACCACTATAATGTTTAGGATTAGTATTGATATATTTTTGTTCTGATATGTCTTTTATTTTGATTTGTCAGGCAAGTATACACTCTAGTCCAGTCAGGAGCCTGCGCTATGGCTGGTGGGCCTATGCACTTGGTGAGAGGACCACACCGAGGCTGAACCGGCTCAGCAAAATCTTCTCTGTAGAGGGAAACCTGGCTTCTGGGAAAGGTGCTTTGGCACAGAAATTGGCTGAAAAACTGGGTAACTATTCAATCGAATTGCTAAGACCAAATCGTCTCACAATGAGTAAATTAACCATGTCAACTAATACTCAGGGATGCTGTACATGCCCGAGCCCGACACGTTTTACTTGGACAAGATGACGGGTGAGAAGCAGCCTCTTCCACTCGACTACAACGGGATGTGCAGTCTGGAGAAGTTCTACACTGACCCCAAAGCTGCAGATGGCAACAGCTACAGGCTCCAGCACTGGATGTACATCATGAGGCTGCTGCAGTATTCAGACGCCATTGAACACATGCTCACTACAGGTGACCACTCAGGCCTCGTCTCACTTCATTTATCTTCAAAACAATACAGGGGTTCCCAACTTTCAGGCTAGTACCATTTAAACCCAAATCACTCATTTAAAGGGTCAAAAACTGTTTTCCTAATTTCACAAAGCAAAGCAATGCATCAAGAGACACATTCTAGTTCTTGAATTACTTGGGCAAGAGTGGATAGCACTCTCACTTCTCAGCAAGAAGGTCCTGGGCAGAGGTTACATTAACTGAAAATTCTCCGTCATTGACGGATTTTTTTTTTTCTGACGTAAAATTTGGAATGCCGTCCGTCATTTTGAAGGATTGAAAATTAAGTTATAATTTTACATTGCAAGTCGTAGTTGACCGTCCTCTCCACTAGATGGCGCCAGCGCCGTTTATACACGAACAGCGCGCTGCAGGAGTACGGCTTGGATGCTGTCGAGCGCCTTTCTGACTTTTATGGCGCGCCCACAAATGCAGCGGTCTCACTCGTTGAAAAGGATGGTAGGGGACTTTCGCTCCGTGAAACGTGTGCTTGCAGGTTCAGGTAACCCGCCATTTAAGGACTCCTGTAAGCTTCTCATCAACACATACGCGGAGATGTTCCCAGACTACAAAACTCTGGCCGAAGTAGCGCTTGTTATTCCTGTGTCAAGTGTCGCTGCTGAGCGCGGCTTCAGTCTCCAAAATAAAATCAAAACTGCACTTCGAAGCCGTCTGACCGAGACAAAAACACAAACTCTAATGACAATCGCCTCGGTGTCGCCAGCCCTGCACACATTCAATTATGAACAGGCGAGTGCTCAGTTTAAGTCCACAAAGCCGCGAAAGAAGGTTTAATAACCGCATTCAGGCAAACTCCTGTACGTGTTTGTTCCACATGTTAATGCAGGTTAAATGTTACGTAGAGTTGTCGATTGTTTAGCGATTTTTATGCAACTTTATATATTCACAAATTAAATGTATTGTACATTTGTAAACGAACAGCTAATAAAGCACGTTATAAAGCCTGTTTTTGTTTATACAATTGTTTAATTAATAGCCTATAGGGTATTTCAAACGTGAAAATAAAATGACGGATAAAAATAGCTCATGACGGATTTTTTTGGACCCTGTCCTTCATTATGACGGGCTGAAATGATCTCTAGCAAAACCACTGGTCCTGGGTTTGAATCCCGGTCGGAACAGGGCCTTTCTGAGTGGAGTTTGCATGTTCTCCCCGTGTCTGCGTAGGTTTCCTCCGGGTGCTCTGGTTTCCCCTACCACTAAAAACATGTATAATAGTTCTGTGCCTCCTGTACTGGCCCCTCCCATCTCTGTGCGGAGTGACAGACTAATGCCCACAATTGTAAACCTCTTTGACTCTGGTCTGTGAAAGGCGCTATATAAATAAATATTACTTACTTGAATTAATCTTGTGGTGTTTCTCAACTCCCACTAAGCACAGTTTAATCACTAAACAGATACAAATATGAAGACATTATAAGTGTATCATAACCAACACAAATTAAAACCTTGAACCACAAACATAATAATAATAAATCGGTTTTTAGACACTCAGACGCTTTACATGTCGTTATTCTTTCACTCCAAACATGCCAACATAATTCAATAACCTTATAATTGTATATTATTATGTTTTAGGTCAGGGTGTAATTTTGGAACGATCTCCGTTCAGTGACATGGTCTTCGTGGAGGCCATGTTCAAACAGGGCTACATCAGAAAAGAGTGTAAGTTCTTAGATTTAAAAAAATAACCAAAAACACATGTTCCCTGTTATTTACATCCATGTTTGTGCCTTGCAGGTGTGGATCACTATGAGGAGATTAAACATATTAGTATCTGTGAGTTTCTACCTCCTCATCTGGTGATTTATATCGACCAACCGGCAGAAGAGGTGCAGAAGAAACTCAGACAGAGCAGCAAGGTAAAGAGGAAACACAGACTATTCTGGACCTTTGAATCATTAGAAACCACACATTGCTTTGGAGGGCATTATTAATCACTTAAATCTCATTAAATATCCATAGTCGTTTGTTCATAACACGCCCCTGGCCTATCTAAAGAGCATTGAGGACAGCTATAAGAAGTCCTACTTACCCACAGTCAGGTTTGTTTCAATAAATACAGCCGTACAGTATGTATTTGAGCCCAAACATGTTCTAAAATGTGTCTTTCTGCAGTGAATCCTCTGAGCTGCTTGCTTATGATGTCACCCAAGCCCAGGACATTGAAAAGGTGGCAGAGGACATCGAGTACCTGTCGTTCGAAAAGGGTCCGTGGGTGGAGCAGGATGACGTCACCTACCATCACATGAGAGAGCTGTAGGTTTTCATCTGATTCTAAAACTGTATCTAAGTTCTTACTCATTATTACTATTGTTTTTGTTTTATCTGTCAGTGTTGAGGACAAAAACAGAGTGGCGACACTGGCCCACATCCCCAAGTTTCTTCCAGAGATAACCATCGGAGCCCATGACTATAACGACAAATACTACGCCTACAGATCGGTACGATACTCGGTTCCTTTTGAAACATGGCTGTGTATGATTCTCTTGATCTGGACTTAATGGTTTAAGTGGAGATCATGCAGAGGTGGAGTAGTCTCTGGGTGGAGCAGGACAGGTCACAGCAGCAGAGGTGGAGTAGCCCCTGGGTGGAGCAGGACAGGTCACAGCAGCAGAGGTGGAGTAGCCCCTGGGTGGAGCAGGACAGGTCACAGCAGCAGAGGTGGAGTAGCCTCTGGGTGGAGCAGGACGGGTCACAGCAGCAGAGGTGGAGTAGCCCCTGGGTGGAGCAGGACAGGTCACAGCAGCAGAGGTGGAGTAGCCCCTGGGTGGAGCAGGACGGGTCACAGCAGCAGAGGTGGAGTAGCCTCTGGGTGGAGCAGGACAGGTCACAGCAGCAGAGGTGGAGTAGCCGCTGGGTGGAGCAGGACGGGTCACACAGCAGCAGAGGTGGAGTAGCCTCTGGGTGGAGCAGGACAGGACAGGTCACAGCAGCAGAGGTGGAGTAGCCTCTGGGTGGAGCAGGACAGGTCACAGCAGCAGAGGTGGAGTAGCCCCTGGGTGGAGCAGGACAGGTCACAGCAGCAGAGGTGGAGTAGCCTCTGGGTGGAGCAGGACGGGTCACAGCAGCAGAGGTGGAGTAGCCCCTGGGTGGAGCAGGACAGGTCACAGCAGCAGAGGTGGAGTAGCCTCTGGGTGGAGCAGGACAGGTCACAGCAGCAGAGGTGGAGTAGCCCCTGGGTGGAGCAGGACAGGTCACAGCAGCAGAGGTGGAGTAGCCCCTGGGTGGAGCAGGACGGGTCACAGCAGCAGAGGTGGAGTAGCCCCTGGGTGGAGCAGGACGGGTCACAAAGTGGAGTAGCCCCTGGGTGGAGCAGGACGGGTCACAAAGTGGAGTAGCCCCTCCACCTGCTCTGCTCTGGTCAGTAAAATTTAAAAAGTAAAATGTTAAATGCTTCAATAGCATTTTTCTTAAAGTTAGCATTCCTCCAGTGGATTTTCACCTGATCCACTTGGTTCGGCCGCGCTCTGACCAATCAGAGCTGAGCAGAGCGGAGTCAGAGCGGGAAGGAAAGGAGCAGAGTTTGTGGCAGTAAAGTGTGGATTTAAAGAAAACTGAAGGATTTAAGAAGAAAAAAAGTTCAGGACAATAAGGGACACTAACATCCCCACCAAATCTGATATTTATGAAAGCTGTAGGTTCTCTGTCAGGTTCTCCGTCAGGTTCTCTGTCAGCTGGGGTCTGGTTTAGTTTACATTCAGTTCTAAAGGACATTTTTTTCTGGATAAGGTGAGTTTAGTCTGCAGTGCCACAGCGCCCCCTGTGCCCATGGGTGGGACAGCTGTAATCTAGTAATACTCAGATATTATTATAGAACCATGGGGATAACACAATGCAGTAATATTTACAGTGTATTTGCAGTACTCTTATTGGTTTTCAGGATCGACAAATACTCTAATTTAAGTACTCTTACTCGTATCAGTTTGTAAAAAGTGTTATGGGTGCCTCCCTAAACGTTTGGAGCAGGGCAAAGCTCCTCTTCACACTTCGAAGCCGGTCTCATTGATTTAATTCCCTCTGATGCAAAATGCTGCTGTTCCTGTGTCTGCCTTCATCAGGCTTTTACAGAAACAGTTTGAGTTTGACCTTTTCTGAGAACCGACTGGAGACTTTTCGCTGTGGGAGGAAAACCAAGAGTGTAGCGCTCTAGGCTTCGACCTGACATTTTGTTCTGGACTCGACCTTAGAGAAAGTCACACAAAGGCAGTGATTGTTTTAAACCGATCATCATTTAAATGTGACGAGAGAATAAAGTATTGACTCAGGAGTCTGGTTCTTTGACCTTAACCAAATCTTCTTCTGTCTCCAGCTCCCGGGAAAGAGGTACGCTCCTGGTTATAACGTGGACATAGGAGACAAGAATGTTCTGTTCAAGTAAAAATTGATCTCAATATTTAAATCCTCCACCTGTCATAAGTTGTATATTGTAATTGTACATTAAAATATAAGGTTTTGAATCGAGTTTTGGCATTTTATTGTTCCTCAATTACTATTAAGATAGATACTTTATTGCCCCGGAGGCAGAACTGTGTCAGACCCATAGACCGTGTCAGACCATAGACTGTGTCAGACCCATAGACTGTGTCAGACCCATAGACTGTGTCAGACCCATAGACCGTGTCAGACCCATAGACCGTGTCAGACCCACAGACTGTGTCAGACCCATAGACTGTGTCAGACCCATAGACCGTGTCAGACCCACAGACTGTGTCAGACCCATAGACTGTGTCAGACCCATAGACCGTGTCAGACCCACAGACTGTGTCAGACCCATAGACTGTGTCAGACCCATAGACTGTGTCAGACCATAGACTGTGTCAGACCCATAGACTGTGTCAGACCCATAGACTGTGTGAGACCCATAGACTGTGTGAGACCCATAGACCGTGTCAGACCCATAGACTGTGTCAGACCCATAGACCGTGTCAGACCCATAGACTGTGTCAGACCCACAGACTGTGTCAGACCCATAGACTGTGTCAGACCCATAGACCGTGTCAGACCCACAGACTGTGTCAGACCCATAGACTGTGTCAGACCCATAGACTGTGTCAGACCCATAGACCGTGTCAGACCCATAGACCGTGTCAGACCCATAGACTGTGTGAGACCCATAGACTGTGTGAGACCACAGACTGTGTCAGACCCATAGACCGTGTCAGACCATAGACTGTGTCAGACCCATAGACTGTGTCAGACCATAGACTGTGTCAGACCCATAGACTGTGTGAGACCCATAGACTGTGTGAGACCACAGACTGTCAGACCCATAGACCGTGTCAGACCCATAGACTGTGTCAGACCCATAGACCGTGTCAGACCCATAGACCGTGTCAGACCCATAGACTGTGTCAGACCCATACTGTGTCAGACCCATAGACTGTGTCAGACCCATAGACTGTGTCAGACCCATAGACCGTGTCAGACCCATAGACTGTGTGAGACCCATAGACTGTGTGAGACCACAGACTGTGTCAGACCCATAGACCGTGTCAGACCCATAGACTGTGTCAGACCCATAGACTGTGTCAGACCCATAGACCGTGTCAGACCCATAGACTGTGTCAGACCCATAGACCGTGTCAGACCCATAGACTGTGTCAGACCCATAGACCGTGTCAGACCCATAGACTGTGTCAGACCCATAGACTGTGTCAGACCCATAGACCGTGTCAGACCCATAGACCGTGTCAGACCCATAGACTGTGTCAGACCATAGACTGTGTCAGACCATAGACTGTGTCAGACCATAGACCGTGTCAGACCCATAGACCGTGTCAGACCCATAGACCGTGTCAGACCCATAGACCGTGTCAGACCCATAGACCGTGTCAGACCCATAGACCGTGTCAGACCCATAGACCGTGTCAGACCCATAGACCGTGTCAGACCCATAGACCGTGTCAGACCCATAGACTGTGTCAGACCCATAGACTGTGTCACACCCATAGACCGTGTCAGACCCATAGACTGTGTCAGACCCATAGACTGTGTCAGACCCATAGACTGTGTCAGACCCATAGACCGTGTCAGACCCATAGACTGTGTCAGACCCATAGACCGTGTCAGACCCATAGACTGTGTCAGACCCATAGACTGTGTCAGACCCATAGACTGTGTCAGACCCATAGACTGTGTCAGACCCATAGACCGTGTCAGACCCATAGACTGTGTCAGACCCATAGACTGTGTCAGACCCATAGACCGTGTCAGACCCATAGACTGTGTCACACCCATAGACCGTGTCAGACCCATAGACTGTGTCAGACCCATAGACTGTGTCAGACCCATAGACCGTGTCAGACCCATAGACTGTGTCACACCCATAGACCGTGTCAGACCCATAGACTGTGTCAGACCCATAGACTGTGTCAGACCCATAGACTGTGTCAGACCCATAGACCGTGTCAGACCCATAGACTGTGTCAGACCCATAGACTGTGTCAGACCCATAGACCGTGTCAGACCCATAGACTGTGTGAGACCATAGACTGTGTCAGACCCATAGACCGTGTCAGACCCATAGACTGTGTCAGACCCATAGACTGTGTCAGACCCATAGACCGTGTCAGACCCATAGACTGTGTCAGACCCATAGACCGTGTCAGACCCATAGACCGTGTCAGACCCATAGACTGTGTCAGACCCATAGACCGTGTCAGACCCATAGACTGTGTCAGACCCATAGACTGTGTCAGACCCATAGACTGTGTGAGACCACAGACTGTGTCAGACCCATAGACTGTGTCAGACCCATAGACCGTGTCAGACCCATAGACTGTGTCAGACCCATAGACTGTGTCAGACCCATAGACCGTGTCAGACCCATAGACCGTGTCAGACCCATAGACTGTGTCAGACCATAGACTGTGTCAGACCATAGACTGTGTCAGACCCATAGACCGTGTCAGACCCATAGACTGTGTCAGACCCATAGACCGTGTCAGACCCATAGACCGTGTCAGACCCATAGACTGTGTCAGACCCATAGACTGTGTCAGACCCATAGACCGTGTCAGACCCATAGACTGTGTCAGACCCATAGACTGTGTCAGACCCATAGACCGTGTCAGACCCATAGACTGTGTGAGACCATAGACTGTGTCAGACCCATAGACCGTGTCAGACCCATAGACTGTGTGAGACCATAGACTGTGTCACACCCATAGACCGTGTCAGACCCATAGACTGTGTCAGACCCATAGACTGTGTCAGACCCATAGACCGTGTCAGACCCATAGACTGTGTCAGACCCATAGACTGTGTCAGACCCATAGACCGTGTCAGACCCATAGACTGTGTGAGACCATAGACTGTGTCAGACCCATAGACCGTGTCAGACCCATAGACCGTGTCAGACCCACAGACTGTGTCAGACCCATAGACCGTGTCAGACCCATAGACTGTGTCAGACCCATAGACTGTGTCAGACCCATAGACCGTGTCAGACCCATAGACCGTGTCAGACCCATAGACTGTGTGAGACCATAGACTGTGTCACACCCATAGACCGTGTCAGACCCATAGACTGTGTCAGACCCATAGACTGTGTCAGACCCATAGACTGTGTCAGACCCATAGACCGTGTCAGACCCATAGACTGTGTCAGACCCATAGACTGTGTCAGACCCATAGACTGTGTCAGACCCATAGACGTGTCAGACCCATAGACTGTGTCAGACCCATAGACCGTGTCAGACCCATAGACCGTGTCAGACCCATAGACTGTGTCAGACCCATAGACTGTGTCAGACCCATAGACTGTGTCAGACCCATAGACGTGTCAGACCCATAGACTGTGTCAGACCCATAGACTGTGTCAGACCATAGACGTGTCAGACCCATAGACCGTGTCAGACCCATAGACTGTGTCAGACCCATAGACCGTGTCAGACCCATAGACTGTGTCAGACCCATAGACCGTGTCAGACCCATAGACCGTGTCAGACCCATAGACTGTGTCAGACCCACAGACCGTGTCAGACCCATAGACTGTGTCAGACCATAGACTGTGTCAGACCCATAGACCGTGTCAGACCATAGACTGTGTCAGACCCATAGACTGTGTCAGACCCATAGACCGTGTCAGACCCATAGACCGTGTCAGACCCATAGACTGTGTCAGACCATAGACTGTGTCAGACCCACAGACTGTGTCAGACCCATAGACCGTGTCAGACCCATAGACCGTGTCAGACCCATAGACCGTGTCAGACCCATAGACTGTGTCAGACCCATAGACCGTGTCAGACCCATAGACCGTGTCAGACCCATAGACCGTGTCAGACCCATAGACCGTGTCAGACCCATAGACCGTGTCAGACCCATAGACTGTGTCAGACCCATAGACCGTGTCAGACCCATAGACTGTGTGAGACCATAGACCGTGTCAGACCCATAGACCGTGTCAGACCCATAGACTGTGTCAGACCCATAGACCGTGTCAGACCATAGACTGTGTCAGACCCACAGACTGTGTCAGACCCATAGACCGTGTCAGACCCATAGACTGTGTCAGACCCATAGACCGTGTCAGACCCATAGACCGTGTCAGACCCATAGACTGTGTCAGACCCATAGACCGTGTCAGACCCATAGACTGTGTCAGACCATAGACTGTGTCAGACCCATAGACTGTGTCAGACCCATAGACTGTGTCAGACCCATAGACCGTGTCAGACCCATAGACCGTGTCAGACCCACAGACTGTGTCAGACCCATAGACCGTGTCAGACCCATAGACCGTGTCAGACCCATAGACTGTGTCAGACCCATAGACCGTGTCAGACCCATAGACCGTGTCAGACCCATAGACTGTGTCAGACCCATAGACCGTGTCAGACCCATAGACTGTGTCAGACCCATAGACTGTGTCAGACCCATAGACCGTGTCAGACCCATAGACTGTGTCAGACCCATAGACTGTGTCAGACCCATAGACCGTGTCAGACCCATAGACTGTGTCAGACCCATAGACCGTGTCAGACCCATAGACTGTGTCAGACCCATAGACTGTGTCAGACCCATAGACTGTGTCAGACCCATAGACTGTGTCAGACCCATAGACTGTGTCAGACCCATAGACCGTGTCAGACCATAGACCGTGTCAGACCATAGACCGTGTCAGACCCATAGACTGTGTCAGACCCATAGACCGTGTCAGACCCATAGACTGTGTCAGACCCATAGACCGTGTCAGACCCATAGACCGTGTCAGACCCATAGACTGTGTCAGACCCATAGACTGTGTCAGACCCATAGACCGTGTCAGACCCATAGACTGTGTCAGACCCATAGACCGTGTCAGACCCATAGACCGTGTCAGACCCATAGACCGTGTCAGACCCATAGACTGTGTCAGACCCATAGACCGTGTCA